ACTGACCATCTCAGCAGAATGCCCCATGCAGTTGGAGGACTTCCCCATGGACGCCCACGCCTGCCCGCTCAAATTTGGCAGCTGTGAGTAAAAATCCTCACCATTAGCGTCTATATCCACCCCCTTCTTAGAGTCTGTGCTAATCCCAGCTCAGTCACTGTTACACAATGAAATTTTGCAGTCTGATGCAATGAGTCTCATTCAAGTAAAGTCTCAATTTAAATTACGGTGGGACATATTTTGAGGTCACCGGTTGCATGATAAGTCATTGTCAGAATGTTTTATGGAGACATTTTTGCTAATAATTCATGGAAACACAATAGTTGATGTGCAGAATTCAGTGGACATAACGTTTTGTGGCAGATTTTGTTCAATGTATCGACACTTTTTAACACGCCTTTACGATGGCCATTAAAATTCTAAAAAATAGTAAATTACTGCAAGATTGTAGCAAGCCAATGTATCATTTAAATGTTTTACAAGCAAGTTGAAATTTCCCTAACAAAGTGAACATTTAGCTTTCCAGGTTGCAATTTGTCTTAATAGCAATAATAATATCAAAGATCTCTATTATAGTTTTTTGTCGAGCAGTTTTTTTTAAATTAATTTTTGCTAATTTTCCTTTTTACCCTCCACATAAAATTTTAGACATGCACAATTACACAGCTACTTGTCCAAGTTTAGATATTTAAAACAAATTCTACATATATCTGAAATACACAAACAAACAAAATAAAAAGTACCTAAAAATGCATTGGGAATGTTTGAATTCCGACTATGACGATTTGGGAAGACAAACATTTCAACATCACCAACTAGAATAACGATTAGCATCAACAGAACGTAAAATATTCTTAGGGTTTAGTTTGGGGTGTGTTTAATCAATTGTATGGTTTTCAGTTTTAACATTAAATGAATGAAATGGACAATTATAACTGGTAACAACTACACTGTAAAAATGACGTTTGAAAAGTATGTTTGAATTTTTTCTAGTGGAAATTAGAAGTTTCAATATTCAGCTTACATGGGAACCTGATTAACCAATTAAATGGTGGGTACTCTGTACTTATTTGTTTAAATTAAAGATTATGCAACATGTAGAGTTTGGAAGGAATGATTCAGTTGTTTTGTTCAATTGAGTAAGTAGAGCAATGCAATTTGAGAATTCTTTCATTTCAGATCTGATAAGCACAAATATTAATTTAGATAGATAAGTAACTTTGACATGTAAAACAACTCCTCTATACAGTAGCGGACGTCAGCAACGGGACGGGTTTCCTTTGCTGGTTTTGGAACGGGGGCAGCTCGTCTATATATATGTGTCCTCAAAGGACGGGAGGACGGGAGCGGCCATGGTGGTATTTAAAGACAGATCTGCCCACACCTTGGGAGTCTGTCGGGCTTAAAGGATGAGGCTCTTATCCCCAGATTTCAGTGCGATGTGACCCGCCCACACTCACTATGTCAGATTACACTTTTGAGTACAATCCAATTAGACTGTGAGAAGGTGCTGGGTCCTCCCAAGGCTAAAATCAACCTAATTATCTCAGTGTGGGAATGGAGGTAAAAGGTGGAAGTGAAGGTGGGAGCTTTTTTTTAGAACAAAGAAATAACTGGTTTGCATTCATATTTCCTTTTATCAAATAGTTTATGTCCACAGTGCTTAAGTAAGGATTTATCTTGTGGCCACGGGGTTAGCTCAGGTAAAGGGCCCCTAATTCCAGATTCTGTCTTGCTTACTTAACATATGGCCTTTGCAAATGACACTGTGTCAGTGCACATCTTCTTGTCCAGTGTTTTAAGGGTATACTCAAGCATGATGAGCAGCTTTCTGTAGGTTTCACCAGCTTTTATTGACAATTCAATTACGTGTATGGAAAGAGTCAATATTTGCAGCAGTGGTCTGTCTTTTTCAAGACCTCTTCAATCCATCCTGGCATGCGGTCTGTCAACTTCTGGGCCAAATCCCGACTGAGCATGATTTGTGTGGTTTTATTGGACCACCTGCCTATCGATGATAGATTATCTGGGACATTAAGGCTTGGAAGGTATTTACTTCTAACCTTAGCCTTATGAGATGGTACTCCATCATGTCACAAAGGGCAAACTGTGATTGGATGGTTGGGGGGTTCCCCTTGGAGCATGTCTAGGTACCATTCTTTTATTAATGTGTTTTTTAAGGCTAAACTGTGAGTGAGTCCACTTTCTTGACAGGGAAGCAATCTCTGTTCACAAAAATGTTTTTTATATTTTCTGTGTTGAATTCATCAAAGGTGTGAGACACTCGTGTAATCAGAGATAGGGTGAGAAGCCCTGTCATCCAACAGGGGCTCGGAGTAGATCAGCTGCTCCTACACATCAAGAGGAGCCAGTTGAGGTGGCTCGGGTATCTGGTTAGGATGCTTCCTGGTGAGGTTTTCCGGGCACGCCCAACCGGGAGGAGACCCAAAGGAAGACCCAGGATGTTGGAGGAACTGTTTCTTGGCTGACCTGGGAACACCCTAGGAGAGGGAAGTCAGAGCCTGTCTGTTTAGGCTGCTGTCCCAGCGACTGGACCCTGGATAAATGGAGGAAAATGGATAGGTCCAACATTGTGTCATATTAAGAGCGTTTGCTCATAGCTGTATACCGATAAGATCAGTAAGTCAAATCTGAGGTGGAGTTTCCTGCTTCTTCCTCACATTACACTTTTTCAGCAACATGCCCAAAAATGATCACCATCACACAATCATGAAGAAAAACACACCAGTGATTGGAGCTGCTTCAAAGCCAACAAAAGAGAGCCGCATTGGTCTTGTTTCCAAAAATTATTATTAGAGCTTCTAGTAGTTAAAAAAAAAGTGCCTTTGTGATTGTTGACCATAATGTTGTGCTCACAAATGTTCTTTTAGTCCCCGTTGATGAGATTATGATTAATACCCCATATTAAACTAGACCATATTTCTTTTCTTCACTAAATGTTGGTTATGGAACAAATATATAAAAAGCAATATTTTAAAAATAACATCAAACCTCTATGGGGCATTCAGAGGTGTGCAGAATGAAGGTACAGTAGTTTCTTTAAAGCTACATTTTAATAAAAAAAAAATCTGATATTTATTTTTAACCAGCATGACGCTGAGTTTATATTTACATCTACTAGCCAATAGGGAGCACCACTGCAGTAAAACGTCCATTCAGCACAGTGAGGCCGACTGAGGAAAACGGACTCGGCAAGTCAAGCAGCTGCTTCTGAGCTCAGATTATGTTCTAACGTCAAATATTGTTGTAAACATAATTATGTATATATAAAATGACTAACATTGGCCAATATATAATAAACATGCCTTCATGTCTACTGACATCTGAACTTCTGTAGCTGCTAGGGATGTGTATTGCTGAAATTCTGGTGACGATACGCATCACGATACAGGGGAGAGATATGATATATCACGGTATATTTGATACATTCAACCAGATGATATTAGGAATTTTTTTTCCACTGATTTACCAGCACGGTGTGTCCTGTGAAAGCTGCTATAGTAACCAAGTGGGTGAAGCCTTATTTCAAAGGAACCACAGTCATGGTGACTAGGCAATCAGCATTCAAACAGCATTTCTGCAAGAAATGCAATCCATCTAGTTGAGTAGTTGAGTTAAATATTTGTGATTTCAGGATAGACCGAAAAAATAATGATTACTTTCTTAAAAATTATTTATGTTTTTCTGATGGTATTAATTTTTTAAACATTATAATATTATCAGAATTAGCAAAAAGTGGAAGTTTTACAAATGTTTTGAGTTAGATTCGGCCTGGAAAACTGATGCATTTCCAGTGGGTATCACTTCATATTTAACCCTCCTACTGTCCTAATGGGTGTGACCCCGCGAGGAAAGTTGACCATTGAGCAGGGTTGATGCTTCATCCCTTGGGTCCATGTGGCACCTCACCCCTGCCACGTGGACCTCAAGGGATAAACCATCAATCCTGCTCAATGGTCAACTTATGTTCATGTTTATTTATTTGGCAGACGCTTTTATCCAAAGCGACTTACAATTTATAACCTATAGGGCATGTTGTGGGAACTTTCCTCGTGGGGTCACCCATAAAGACAGTGGGAGGGTTAAAGCTTCTTTCCGGAGTACTTATCTTATTCGATGGCACCATCTAGTGGCTGACAAGCATATCACACTCCTTCCATTTTTTTTAAGATGGCGACTTCACGTTTTGTTTATAAATGTGCTTCTGTAGCCGACAAACGTAGCTAAAACACGTTGTTTTATGAGTATTATTCTCATGTCATGTTGTGTTCTCATATATTTATATTTGAAGGACTTTCTTGTCCGTGAAAAGTTCATCAACTCTGCATCAGCTGAGGTATTCCTTAAATTTGAAGCATCTAAGTGGTAGTCTAACGCTATTGGTTAGTTCTGGTCAGTGCTCAGTTTCCTATTGCACGGAGCTCTGCGGGGCAGGGGGCGTGCTTAGCAAAAAAATAAAAAGACGTATTGCTTACATTATATCACAGTACATGATAAGATAATCACTTTTACGGTTTTCTGACAAATCATACATCGTTTCTGAAAGGGGGAAAACTCCGGAAAGATAATTTAAACGCTAGTTATTTAAAATAAAAAATTATATTTTTTGCTTTCTGGGATTCCACTAGAATTCTGAAAGACTTAGTGGTACAATCAAGGGTTTTCTGCAATAGAAAAATCAATCATTACCATTCAGTCATTGTGGTCCTCGGAGATCATCAAAAATGAAGAATTATTTCTGAAGAAACTAAGTGTCCTTCTCCTTTCAGCAGATTTACCCAAATCCCTCTTTGCCTGTCTGTTCCTCAAGTGTTTCTTTTGTCAGAACAGCAGTAAATCACTGACTTTTCATTCACGATCAAACCAACATAAATTAAAAAGCTGCCTCTGTCTACAATTCGAGCCCACTGAAGATCTGTAGTAAGATGCTTGTGCGATTACAGAGTTCCTACCACAAGTGTGTTGCAACACATCTTTGCTTCCTCAACACAGATTCCTGCTGACAGGGGAGCTCACTGACTCCACAACAGAGGTAGTAATAAAAAAAAAAAAAAGCTGCACAGACCCAGTTTCTGCTTGAGTCCTTAAGCTCAAGAAGAGTCTGAAAGAGTCCAACAACAACAAATCAAATCTGTCTGTTTTCAGATGCCTATCCAGTGTCAGAGGTGGTATACACTTGGACTCAGGGAGCTGCCAAGTCTGTGGTAGTGGCAGAAGATGGCTCCAGACTCAACCAGTACCACCTGATCGGGCAAACGGCTGGAACTGAGGACATACACACCAGTAGAGGTGAGTGTGCCTAAATCAAAATATCAACAAGACGCCTTAAAATATGTAGGAATCAAAAGCCAAGAAGACAAATCTTCATAAGACATAAATAGGGGCGACGGTGGCACAGGAGTTAAGTGCTCGCCCCGTAATCAGAAGGTTGCAGGTTCGAGCCCCGCTCAGTTTGTTGCTGTCGTTGTGTCCTTGGGCAAGACACTTAACCCACGTTGCCTGCTGGTGGTGGTCGGAGGGACCGGTGGCGCCAGTGCTCGGCAGCCTCGCCTCTGTCAGTGCGCCCCAGGGCAGCTGTGGCTACATCGTAGCTCATCCCCACCAGTGTGTGAATGTGTGTGTGAATGGGTGAATGACTGGTTGTGTTGTAAAGCGCCTTGGGGGGTTCCAGGACTCTAGAAGGCGCTATATCAAATACAGGCCATTTACAAATCATTCTACTGAAATTACTTCCTACACATCAAAAGCCAACCAATCCTGACCATCATTCAGCATAATTTCAACCATTGTGTGCTGTTCACAGGCGTTAATGAACAACGAGTGTTTGAATGTTCTGCCATACACCAACTGTGGCACACATTGACTGGACTTGAAATGATTTATTTGATGAACTTGTCTACTTATGATTTGTTGATAGTTGTAAGCCCTCCGGATAATACCAGACTGGTATTCCAGGGTCTCTGGAAGTTGTAGCCACTGGCCCTATAGTGAAATACTTACATTAGCATAATAAAAGATGTACTTTTACACCACGCCCATTAAAGCATATTTGTAAAGCTGATGAATATCATAAAGCATTTTTGTACTAGTTTTTGGCCACTTAAATGTATTATTTACAAAATAACCAAATTTATGGTTACTTTAAACTTTTTAGACCTCTACCTCTTTTCCAGGAATAGTACATTCCTGAAAAACCTGTATTATCAAAGCCATCACTTAACTGTTACATCAGTTTTTTTTTTTTTATTCTTTGAGCTAATTTTGAGTCAGGTCTCCTTTTAGAAAGTGCACATTATAAAGGAAACTGTGTGTGGACAATTATCGGGAAAGTAATCCAGATTGTGTTTGATTTGGGTGTAATTATATTACATTAGCAAATTTTCAAAATGTGACTGAAGAAGTCTGAGTTTTCAATAAACTTGTCACGTTGCGGGCAAGAGGAGGTTAGGACCCAAGATGCAGAAACACCAGACGACACAAGGCAGGAGCGGTTTATAAAGTAAAATCCCTTTTATTTGGATGGGGAACAAAAAATCCAAAGGGCAGGGAGCCAAAACCTTATTACTAAACTCAGACCAAAAACCAAAAGCTCACTTACTGAGCAGAGACCCAGAGACTAGAGACAAAACAACGCTGACGTAAGACAATGGACCGACACAACGACACAGACAGGGTTTTATACACTGGGGAAGATGAGAGGGAGATGAACTGCAGGTGTGTGGGGAGAGAGAGACCAGGTGAACAGAGTTACTAATCAGGGAGGAAACTAACATGACCTAAGAATAAAACCTAAAGACACGAAGAGCAGGAAACATAACTTAATAATCTTAAGGGGGAGAAAAACCTCAAACACCGATGGGAAAAACACTAGAGAGACTAATAATATGAACAGCTGTAGCTAAAGGAAAATGACCTAAGAGAAAAACCTAAAGAGCAGAGGGGCAGAAAACATAACTAATATTCTAAGGGGGAAGTTGAAACTAAAGGGAAAACACTACAGAAAGAAGAACTACAGGGGCGTGACAAAAGGGGGCCACGGGAGCACAGGAACTGGGAGGGGGATATCTGAGGAGGGAAACCTAGAGGGCTGAAGATCTGGGGAAAAATGGAGAACACCATGAGACACATGAGGAAGACGCAGACAAGGACACATGAGGGCGCTAGGAGACACAAAAGGAGAACCTAGAGAGGGATGGAGAACACAAGGAGACACATGGGGGGAGACGCAGACCATGAATAAACTTTATTTCTTTTTTTTTTTTACTGTAACAGACATGTTAAACAGAGTTAACGCCTCTGGAAAAAGAGTAACTGGCGAAAACATTAATTTTCCGTTTCTGTATCTGACAGTTTTTCTGTTTATTTACAATTAAAGCTGTGATAGATCTACAGAGCAAGCTAGCTTTTAATTGCAAACACGGTTATGGAACACTCAGATGTTTTAAGCTAGCTTGTTCTGTAGATTTGCCATTGCAGCTTTAACTGTGCTGGTTTAACCCCTTAGCATTCACTCCTCACCCCTGCCACGTGGACCTCAAGGGATAAACCATCAACCCTGCTCAATGGCCAACTTTCCTGGCGGGGTCACCCATGAAGACCGTGGGAGGGTTAGAGCTGGAGGTCAGCCCAGAGACTGCATGGGGACTGGGGAGGACAGACACCTTTAGGAGTGGCTTGTCAAAAAGACGTAACGACCGCGGCTTGGATCGTAATAAAAAACAAGCTATGTTTATGTCAAACAGAAGTTCTTAGCAGCGCAAAGACAGCCCCTGTACCCACTTTAAGCTGCCGTTGCATAATGTTTTGTAAAAAGTACTCAATTGTGCAACATTACCGCCACCAATTATTAACGACCTAAAGTTCCCTGATGCCACAACGGCATTGCAGCAAATTTTTGGCATCGTTTTGTAAAAACGGCTAACAACAGCCTTCTCCGTCATGAGTCAAGATGGGCGAGTCCACGAATGCTAAACGACAACGTCTCAAATCCAAGATTTTTGTCGTCAATAACAGCTGTAGCCTTCATTTTCTCTGCCTAATGTGTACTTTCAAAAACCCCTCCAGCAGGGATTTCTCTTTTCTCTTAGACGTCTAGGTCATTTACACAGGATGTGACGGATGATAGTGTAAAGTGATGTGATGTAACAAAGTCTAGATTAAAATAGATGAATAGCACGATGGGAGGCAGAGAATAAATGCAGGGGGCAACGTTATCAGGAGGATCAGAGTCGACGAGTGGACGCTGGTGGACAAGAGAGCCTATCTGTCACACAACCAGCTGTCGACAGGCCTGGACGGTCCTGTCCAACAACACTTATCCCTGCATGAGCCACACACACACAGAAATAGAGAGACCTGAGACCTCGGGTTAATCCCTACCACCACCACCATCCAGCCACCATCCAACAGCCCATCAGCTTTTCCATAAGAAGATGACATCACAGATCAGCGAGGGATTGGTTGGGTGGCTGTCGCTGGGTATATCTGCACTCATAATTTTCTCTTTGTGGTGATGGATGGGAAATGAGGTCATTAATAGTGAGCACATTAAACCTGACATTTGACTCCAAGCTTGACCTTAGCTTGAGCTTGCCATTTCTAGGTTAAACGAAGGTAAGGGGCGGAAAGGGGTTTCAGGTCGAGTCCTCACAAAGCTGGAGCAAGGGCTGTGATTGGACAGGTTCACTCTGTCATGTGGAGATTTTAGGGGGGGTTGAAAGGCATCTGTTTAATACTCTTATGTAAAACGGAACTGTAGACTTCCCTCTGATTTCTAGTAGATCATTATTAAAAGCCCGGATTTCCCCTGTATTAAGTTTTTTACCCTATGAACACCCCAGCTACAAGGGTGGAGAGTTTGCTGGTTGGAAGATTTCTAATGGCTGAAAGGCTACTCGAGTGATTTATTAGTTTGCCACATTGATCTGTTTGCTGTTAATGCAATAAAATGTTGGTTGGAGCTTTTATTCCTAAATGTTAAAGTTGGGAGATTGTAGCTTAAGCATATTTGCACCATGAATCAATTGTTGGGTTGGGAAGCACCTTCCCTTGTTGACATCGTCACCTCATGCCGTCTAACTGGTTCTAATGTAGGTTTTTGACGTCGTGACATGTTTTACATTTTGACTTTTTGGCCATTTTATCTAGTTAGTTAACCACCATCTGGTGCCGTAACAAAAATCAGTTTAGTAGGACTAAAGGGCAAAAATCATCCTTCATACAGACCAAAGCTTTTGCCTGGGGATACATCCAAATCAATGGTTGGATACTGCTGATGGGTAAAAGCTCTTGTGTCACGTTCTGTCCACCAGACTTATTGCCTCTGCGTAGACTTTCATAGTGACATTTTTAGAGAAAATTGCATTTTCATACTTATTGGACTAAAGCAATGGTTCTATGTGCTATTAATGGAAAATATTGATCAATGGCGTTGTCCATATGTGTTAGAAGATTAGATTAGACTTCATTAATCCCACTGTGGGGAAATCCACTTGCTACAGCAGCACATACACTTGAGGAAAAAGAACCACCAAAAACAGCAAATAAAAAGAAAATCTTGTGTTTCCAGAACTACGAACAGTCATACTATTGTCATACATCATGTATTGCACAGGTATTGAACACATACTGAATATTGCATTGATGTTATTGTGTACCAGGAAAATGCCAGTACCAGTTAAACTTGGGAGTTTTACACTCTTACTGCAGAGGGATGAATGACTTACGGTAGCATTCTGTTATAAATGTGGGATGTCCATGGCCTCAACAGTGGAATGCAGTGGGTGGGAGGGGTTTTCCATTGTTCCATTGACATATCAACTTATCCACAAATTTTACTGGTGCCGCTTTTAAAGCACCACGCAAATCTGTTTTATTCATATGGGTTCATTATTTTTGGTTATCTTTTATTAATCAAAACCCAGTCAAAAAAGGTTTCATTTGGTTGAAACCCATGGATCACAATATGTGGTACAAGTACCAGTGATGGTACTCAGGATCCAAAGACAATTGGAAAACTTCACTATCCATTTAGCAGTTAAATAACAATCATAAGCTAAATCCTGATTAGTTTAATGTAAATTACAATCTTGGCTCCAAATGGAAACCAGCAGTGGAGAATTACTGAGAACCCAAAACGAAAGCTGCAGTGAGTCATTTTAACCGATGTGCTAGTGACCTCTTGAGTGACTAGGGAAGTCTATGGGACCTGCTTGCCACAAAATATGGGAAAAAGAACAGTGAGGAAACCTTGAGTCAAGTTGACCTAATTTTGTAATTATTTGATGCAGAGCATAAAAATAACCAATATCATAGTGTATGTGTTGCTGATCAATGAATGCGTACCTCGTGGCATCAAATAGGTTAGGGATGTTATATATATATATATATATATATATATAAGACATTTTTGTAGCAGGCCTTCACCAATTTTGACATAGCAGTGAAATACAAATGATGGTAGCCATTTTTTCATTTTTCTCAGCCTCGCTTAATTTTAAGCTCTCTGAATAAAATATTTCTATGGCAGGATAAGGACCATTGATCTCTTGTGCTGAACAGCTTTGAAAGTTGTATTGGTTGTTTTTAAAGCTGCTATAACAAATTTGGAAAACAAATTAGCTTACAACATTTTTTCATGCCTCTTAACGTTCTAAAATAATATACATATAAATAAATTGTGCAGAGTAAAAATCATAATAAAGTGGTTTTGTTGCATTTATCTAAAAACTTTCACTAATAGCACATTTGGGACCAAAAGCAACCATTGGACCATTCGGTTGTTGGTCTCGCCGAATCGCCGCACTTCCCTGGGTCCTCCATTCATAACGCACTTGCATTAGGCTACTACCACTTCAACTTCACGACAAACTACCAAAGTCCCAAAAAGAAAAACACAATTTGAAGTCACAAACAACAAAAACGCTTTTGGACCTAGGAAACGGTGACGACTCTTTGTAATTTCGTCTGTCATCGTGAGTTTCCGGTTCTGGCGGAATCATCTCAGGGAAGATACCCGATGGGAGGGGTGAATGTTCATGACCGTGTTTGCATTCAAAACCTAGCTTGATTGCAGATTTGCTACAACTGCTTTAAGTAGCACATCTAATTTTAGACAATTCGCTAATTTGAGGATATGAAAGAGGAGATAAGTCCATGAGGGTTTCTTTAAATAGCTGGCATATATGACCTCCCTTAGATAGCGATATCTGTCCCAAAATAACTCCTTAGCTCTAAAAGACGATAATACCACAGCAGCAGTTGTGCATGTAACAAAATATGATTGGTCGGATTATGACTTACCAGTTGACCAGCATAGCAGCGTTGTTCCCAGACATGAATGGAAGTTCCCCTTGGACAATGTGAAATACAAATCCAGGCCAAAAAAGCAGTAACATCCACCCCCAGCGGAGCATGTCCCTCCTCATTCCTACACCCCTGATCCTGTAGGGGTCCATACATCCGGGGTGAAGGTGTCCCAGGTCAGTCGTGAGTCATGATCGTGAGTCATGAAGGCATGTGAGGACCCAGGGGATGATCCTGGGGTTGTCCTGATTGAGGCATTGGAGGGGCAGATGAGCGCCAACTGTAGCAGGTGTTTGACTCTGGGAAAAAATCAAAAAAATAATTACCGTCACTTTGACTCTGCTGTCAATTGATGCCAGCAGTGGAATTTCACAAATGTCTCCTTTTTCCCCTTGTATTCCAACATCTTCTGTCAAGTGCGATTGATCGATATTCCTCCAAAAAGCTCCTGGATTTGACCAAAGTCAACACACAAAAAAAGGGAAGAGATTGGGAATACCCTCCCAGCTAGCCCCCCTCCATCCCAGTAGAGATTAGCAGCGAGTGTCCTGCCTGTGCATTGCTTAGAGCGATGTGTGTATCAACAGTTGGAAATCATGCTTCAAGTGTGTGTGTGTGTGTGTGTGTGTGTGTGGGGGGGGGGGGGGGGTCAGAGCCTCCATTGGCAGGACTAAAATGGGCGTGGCTGCAGTGAGAATCCCAGGGCTAGAGGCCCCTCCCCCTTCTCTCCCTCTCACTGATGGCAGGATGCAGATTGTGACCAGGGATTAGGGCAGTTGAAAAATCGGATTTTGCCTGGAGAAAGCCTTGTGTATTACTTTGTGTATGTGTGTGTGTGCGTGCGTGCGTGTGTGTGTGTGCGTGCGTGTGTGTGTGTGTGCGTGCGCGTGTGTGATGGAACGATAGATGGAGAGAATTTTTTATACCAGCGCCTGCCGTCGTAAACAGCTGACGGCAAGAGTTTTTTTTTATTTTAATCCTTGAGTTCATCATTGCGTCTTCTCTTTCTCTCTCTTAGACATTTTTCAGTCTCTTGGCTTACCTCAGTCATCTCATATTGTCAAAGCTCAGACATTAATAATCCATCCTCGTGTTCTTGGAGTAATTAACTCCACTTGCACCTGATTTTCTCTTTAATCACGGATTCAAAGCCGGTTTAATGTAGCTGTTTTATTCAGCTGAATATAATTATCCTCTTTATTTCCATTTTAATATTCTTTTTCACAGTTTCTCACTAATTCATCTATTCTGACGTTTTTCAAGCACTTCTTATGATTTTATTACAAGAACAAGAGGAAAGAGGTGGGATGAAAGAGTAAACTGATCATATAAGTTTAATTATATTTATAGGTAAATGTGATAGTATATTGTCCAAACGTGAAAATTAAATTGTCAGAACAATAAAGGTAAAATGATATCCCATGATATCGCTCCAATTTTATTTTGTGTGGGCGGTAGCTCTACACTGCCGTAGATACAAAGTTTACATGACCTTGAAATAAACGTATAAAGTTTTGAATTTCTGCTTTTTTCCGGGAGTTTTACACTGTTTTGTTTAGTGTGTTTTGTGTGTTTGTCTTTTAGAAATTGTTCTGCTGCGATGTTGTTTTGAATTTTACTTGAGAACCCCGTTGAAAACGAGATGGTTCATCCCAAAGAGGCTATTCTACTTAATGTGTTAAATGGGGCACTCAGTGTTGACATTCTGAACGGCTCTTAACCACTACCACATCAAAAATATAGCTGGATGTGTAGAAAAAAGGCCAAGTGTTAGCCATTTTTGCGTCAACAATGTTCACCAACCGACAAGGGTGTGAACAGTGTCATGAATTCACTCTTTCATTGCATTCTGGGACTTGTAGTTTTGTGGTTGACATGTTCAATTCAATTTAAAAATGTTGCATACTAAAGAGCAGGTTCACTGAAAAAACCTTTTTTAACATTTATTTTTAAATGATCAGTCACTTTGTAACCTCTTTTGGAAAACAATGCCACCAATTAGCCTCAACGCCATGGCAGCATCAGAGAGCCTAAGATAATTTATTAGTGTTCAGACCGTGGCAGTAATATGGTGCAATCGTGTCCTTTTTACAAAAGATTAAGCGATGGTGGTATAAAGGGGGTATGGGGGCGGTCTCTGCGCTGCCGCGGACTTCTGTTTTAAGGCTGATTCATGCTTCTCCGTCAGCTCCGCAAGGGACAGACACACATGGATTGATGGAATCGTTTTGCCCTCATACTTCTCCGTCTCCTGGAGAGTGTTGCAAAGCAATTGCCCGGCAGGACAACAAAGGGCGTAGCGCTGTTCTGTGGTATCCTGTCATGTATCGGTCCAAGATCGTGTGCTTATATTGTGTTTTTTTTTTTTGTATATAAGAGACTTTTTAACACGGACATTTTTGTCTCTCATTCTCCTCCACCTCTTCTTGCGCTCACCACCTCTAAACCCACGTTTCCTGTCATTTCCATCCACAAATAAAACGCTTGCTGCGCATCTTTTCACTCCTCCAGTCACGGGGGAATTAAACGTTCATATTTTAGAGTTTTTTCGCGAGGTATTCGTCAAGCTTCTCCGTGTCTGCCGCTAGCTATTCTCAACTCTCTTTATGTTTTTGAAGGCGCAATGGCAGCGGTGTAGACTACAGCGGTGCCCTGACCAATCACAAGCTTGCGTTCTCCGTCTCGTTCGACGGATGTTTAAAAAAGTGGGCTCGACTCCGTACGACCTTGCCTGCCTGCCGGGGCCCTACGCGAGGACGGATAATGGCGTTGCGTGTCTCTGCACTGACGCAGACGGAGAAGCATGAATCAGCCTTAACTTGAACATAACTTATTTTTTAATGCGATCAAACCCACGCTCATCAAGTTCTTTTGACGAGCCGCTCCTCCAGCTCCTAACGGAAAGAAGCTTCTGGAGCTCTGCATCGCCCCAGTTTGTCATCTCAGCTGGTTTTGTTTACAAAAGTGAAACTTATGCCTGTGTTTACTTTCGTTTTTAATGTAGTTGCCAGCTGGAGGTCGGCAGTAACTCTCCACATGATCATGACCCCTGCCTCTGTTGCGCCAAGGCGTAATATGCATTCACAAATCCAGCATTGCAGTAAAAGTACTACCAAGCGTGGTGGCACGAATGCCACAAAATTCCAGCAGGGCCATGCTGCCACGGCACATTCATATGACACAGCATGACGGGAGTATTACGCTGATTTGTCCGCATGGTGTGTCTTCTAAAAAGGGCTTGAGTTAGCATGCAGGCTAAATGTGAAAATAGTCTTCTACCCTTATTCCCTGCATTAGCTTCTGTTCTGTTCTTCTCAGTTCAGAAAAGCCTGAAAGATCTACGTCACACTGTCACCTAACATTTTTTTTTATCTTTTATTTTCATTTATTGACATTAAAATAAAAATACAGTCAGAAATAAATTGCTGCAAGCCAAAATGAAAAAGGGGACAGAAAGAAGAAAAACTTATGTTGTCTGCCCCTTTTAACTAAAATAGCATTAATACAAATGAAATAATCATATGATTCTTAAAAAAATTGAACAATATAGTTCCTGGACTTGTTGGCCGACAAAATCTCAACCCATGAATTTGAGAAAAAAATAGAAAAAGAAAACAATTTACACAGAAAGAAGCCTTAAGTTTTAGATCTATATACATACATATATACACATACGAATACATACTAGTTTTTTTTCCTTTCATCCCCCCACCCCCCTCCCCTCACACTTTTATGTAACAGATCTATATAAGTTAATCGTTTTATTTTTTATCTCTTTTTTGAAAGTCAATATTGTTTTTGCATTCTTGAGTTCAGTATTCAATTTATTCCACAATTTAACTCCATATATGGAGACACAATGTTCCTTTATGAGTATCCGATGTCTAGGTATGTTAAATAATTCATGTCCCTTTAAATCATATTTGCTATGTCTTTTTGTAAATCGTTTAATTAATTCTGCAGGTACGTTCCTTTTGTTTGCATTATACATAAATTTTAAAATATTGTAGTCCACCAGATCATAGAATTTTAGTGTTTTTAATTTAATAAATAATGGATTGGATGGATCTCTGTAGTTGCTCCTTGTGATTATTCTTATTGCTTTTTTCTGTAAGATGTAGATCGAATTTGTGTAAGTTTTATATGTTGTTCCCCAGATTTGAATGCAGTAGTTCAGGTATGGTACGATCAGTGAGTTATACATTCATGGATTCACCCATACTGGCACTAAGCGGAGAAGGGTTTTGTGGGTTTAGCATCCAGGAGAGAGGAGAGTGCGTCTCAGATAATAGAAGCCAAGTTTTAACATGAAAACATTATTGTTCAAACAGTCTAATTTTCATGTTTGTACAGTATGCAAATGTATCACAATATAAGTATTATATTGTATAAACATGAAACTTATATTGTTCCAACATGATAGTAAATTGTAAAAACGTGATGGTACATTGTATCCTGGTGAACTAGACCAAATTCTTGCTTTGCAAAGTTTGGTCTAGGAACGCTCCACTGGAACCTCTGCAGCTCCAACAGCATTCTGGCTGGCCAATCACAGCTCTCTAGAGGGGTTTCAAACACATAAAGAGCTGTGATTGGTCCATAATGGTGGGTCAATCATAGTGCTCTATCTGCTTCGTGAACAAATCACAGAGCTTTATCCGCTTTGTGGGCCAATCAGGGCACTCTAAATGCCTGGTGGGTGGGATGATGCAACAGAGTGAAACAAGAGTATGTCACATTCATTGTCCAGTGGAATGCGGAGATCATTTGAAAGACAACGGTAGAACCCGCCCCACAACCGAGAGCCGTCAGTGAAGCGTTGCCAGACTAAATAATACATTTATTTAGTCTGGCTTGCCAGGCTAGGTATATTGTACAAACGTGAAAATTATATTGTTAGAACAATAAAGTTAAAATGTTGTAACGTGATATCGCTCCAATTTTATTTTGTGTGGGTGGCAGCTCAACGCTGCCGTAGACCTCCCATAGTCATTAGAAACCTATAAAATATAAAGTAACTAAAAAACAAAACAAGATCTCCGAACAAAATCAACTAATCATTACAACACAATATTTTCCACAACATGATTCAAAAACAAAGGCAGATGTTCTGCAGACCCAATAAAAGGGTAGCCTAGAAACCTAGACCAACCGTAGCAGGTGCTAAAGATTTAGCTGTAGCCTCAACAGGTGTACCATTGGCCTGTGCACTTTTGTGTCTTGCTCTATGTTTGTTGGGCGAGTTAAGCACCAGAGCTGCAATGGAGAAAAACTACAAAGATGGTGTCGGCTCAGGAATTTAGCTTCAGATTTGGACTTTTCTTTGAGACATGAGTGTGCTAATTGATAATGAGTGTCCTATAGTCTAAAAAGCTGACATGAATGTTGGCAGGTCGCATTCCATAAATGTTTTGGTATTATTCCTGATAAAAGTCTTTTCTCAATCAATAATTTGTCCCAACCCCAAGATGACCAATGTTGTTTATTCTAAATCTCTTTTTCATTAAGATAAAATACTTTCTTGTTTTGTGTATTTTTCTCAGGACAGTACACGGTGATGATGGCCCACTTCTACCTGAAGAGGAAGATTGGATACTTTGTCATCCAGACATATATGCCATGTTTCATGACTGTGATCCTTTCCCAGGTGTCATTTTGGTTGAACCGAGAATCAGTTCCTGCAAGGACCGTGTTTGGTTAGTGCTTACTTCCTTAATTTTCTTTCTTTGTCTTTTTTCGGTAATGAGCAATCCCAACAGAGAGAGTAACAACAGATGATGGTTAGGGTATATTAAGACACTCACTTCCATTTTTAAAAGGGTTGTCTAGTTTTTGTTTAGTCTGTCAAAACTCATTGCCATGGCCTCTTCACAGGTGTGACCACAGTGCTGACTATGACCACGCTTAGCATTAGTGCCAGGAACTCGCTTCCCAAGGTGGCCTACGCAACAGCCATGGATTGGTTCATTGCCGTCTGCTATGCGTTTGTCTTCTCTGCCCTGATTGAGTTTGCCACGGTGAACTACTTCACCAAGAGGAGCTGGGCCTGGGATGGCAAGAAAGCTTTGGAAGCACAGCACCCTAAGGTACCATTTGTCAGCGCAAAGTTACTTTTCTCTCCAAAAGTAGTGGATCAGGGAAGCTAATAACTTTAATTTAGCTGTACACTTGAAAGTTTTGACATCAAAAAATGAATATGTGATAACCATAAATTGAACTCAACGTCTACACTCTGTTGGAGGTTGCTGGGACAGACTGCAATTATATTTAGACATATAAGCAAAATTAAATGTACGTATGGAAAACCAGCAATTATGAATATGAGAGAAGATCAACTATAGCTATTGGAACCATTTCCTAGAAAAGAAACCACTGGTGCACTAACAGATGCTTAATGGGAACACTAAAGACAACATTGATAGTTGACAAGTGTGCAGCTAAAATGATTTGGAGATCCTTCATCAAGCAGCAAAGTAATGACCCAAAAATACACTGCTTAAACGTCAAAGAACTCCAGTCGGTGGCTAGATCCAGAACGTTCTTGAACCATCTGTGGGGGCCCTCTGCCCCAGGGGCGGTGGCCGACTGTTGCTGCCTGGGCGCTCTACAGGTAGTGTTTGAGTGGAGGTGGGGGTCTATGCTCCCCCTTCTCTGAGCACCCTGACTTAGTTGCTGTGGAAGACCTGATGCTGCCGGGGCAGATGGCTCCTCTGTTGGTGTTTCCTTGCCTTACCTTACTTGGCTCATCTGGACTCAGCCAAATATACATTTTTACTGATGTGATTTTGTGTGTGTGTGTGTGTGTGTGTGTGTGTGTGTGCATATGACTGTTAATGCTTTAAAACTGTTATGGGAATTTGGGGTCATTTTAATTCTGTAAAGTAGTCTTGGGTGGTATACCAGTTCAAACTAAAAACCGGTGTTTATTTTGGTTATGATATGAATATTTCACATATATACCGCTATACCGGTGAATGGCCTAAACAACGTACAGAATGTTTGTAGTAGGAAAGTGTTTCAGCTGGGACTCATTTCACTGCTACACACAAACACCACAGCATGGTGAAACCAAGAATGGCGGCTGGCGGGAGCTGTCACGGCGACATCAAAACTTCGGACGCAGAAGAACTTATTCCAAAAAGAGGAGCCACATCTGTTGTTTGGAGGTTTTTCTGGTTTAAAAGTTTGGACGTGGAGCAAACAACTATTATATGCAAATGCTGTCGAGCAACGGTGGTAGCCGGCGGGGGTAATACCAGCAACTTGCTTCATCACCTCAGCCGAAAACATGTCTTGGAATACCAAGAATGTCTCGATCTTCGATCTGCACCCTCCACCTCCAAGGCTAAAACGGCTAGTAGCAGTCAGAGTCAGACGTCCATTAAAGACGCATTCGCCAAAGGGACTGTATATTTAAACAAAAGCAAGCGGTGGATCGAGATAACCAACGCAATAACGTTGGATGTTAAATCATAAAGATGGTTAACTGCACAGATTATATGCAAAATGTGTTCAATAAAAATAGATTATTTTGACTGCAATATTTTATCTTTCTAGTTGTTTTTTCTTAACTGCTTTCTTTGGACAAGGATACTTTGAGGGGCTTTCTGCATTTACCTACCTGTGACTGGACATGGAAAAACTGGTATTCTGCACATGAAACGGGCTATTTAAGGCCAATCTAGTGCAGTAATTATTTTCTTATAAAAAATAATCTGGGTAATCACGGCCTTGTGAAAAATATCGTCAAATACTGTAAAACCGATATAATTTTAAAAAATACCGTGATATGACATTTTTGCCATACCGCCCAGGCCTACTGTAAAGCACTTTGAGTTGCACTTTGTTTGAAAAGCACTTTATAAATAAAATCTGATTGATTGATTGAAGTCCAGACGCAGATGATTTGCCAGAACCTTGATTGTCTGACACTTGTAGACACCAATTCCTCAATTTCTGTTTTGCCATAGAAACGAGATCCAATGGTGCTGTCGAAAAAGCCGAACAACGTCTGTTCAGCGGGTGTCAACTACACCCCCAACCTGACGAAGGATGTTGCCATCTCCACCATCTCCAACACCACGTCGGTGCAACTGAGAGCCACCGAGAGCAAAATAGTGGACCCCAAGAAGACCTACAACAGCGTCAGCAAAATCGACAAGATGTCACGTATAGTGTTTCCTGTCCTCTTCGGAACCTTCAACCTTGTCTACTGGGCCACGTACCTGAACAGAGACCCGGGTGTGAAAGGAGTCGTCACTTCTACATAACTGCTTTATTTCTTTCTTTTTCTGTTTTTTATTTTATTTTTTGAGACTGAGCTTGTGTAAGAAAGGATGGATGGGGGGCCGAGCCTTATCGGAGAGTTGTGTAAGGTCTCTGCTTTAGAAAACAGTAAATGAAATCTGCGCTTGAAGAACAAAACTATCCAACTATGAAATTCAAATTGAATGGATGCAAGGCTGCAACAGAATCTCTTTCCTGTTCTCATGGCCTAAAAAACTGCTTGACAGTGAAGAAACTGCTTCATCGAAACAGGAAGGCAGGTGCTTTGCTTCTTTCTCATCTATCTTGCTGCAGTTTGCATGACGTTTCCCTTAAAAGGAAACTACCGACTCCTCTTTGTCTTGAATACCGATATGTCAATGGTATGTCAATCATTTCTTCAAGTACAGGGGGTTTGCATTTTGAGAAAAGGGTGGAGAAAACATGCTGCAAGTGTGGAAGTAATATAGCCTATTGTTATTTTATCCTTGAAATGCCCGTTTCTTGTTGTACTAGACTGTTTGAAGCTTCCAAAATCATTGCCTAACCCTAACCCTAAAAAAGTCGAAAGGAAAAATGATAAAAAAATAAATAAAACTGAGAATGAAAAACAACTTTTTTAAGATTATTGCTAAAGGAGGTGAAGGAGAAGTCAACACATTAAAAACTGGAAAGTCCTCCTTGCCCTTTGGAGTGAAAGGACACTGGTGAGTGATGTGTTAGAAGGGATGTGGGACTTGATATGTGATTCAGCTGAATTTTAAGCCCTGCTCACTCAGCCATGAAACTAATATACACAGTTCAGAGAGCAGTGTTGGAAATGCAGTGTGCCACATACAAATCAGCAGAGAAATGTCCAGAATTTGGTGGTCAGTCAATAAGTGGGATGAGATTAAGACAGGGCATGGCAGCACTAAAAGCTATGGACACCTTGCAAAAATATCTAACGTAACATAAATGAATAGTGCTGTAAATATGACTAACGTGTTTCAAGGGGGTGGCTGAATTCATTTGAAGTGGGGTTCTCAGAAAAGGTTGCAAACAATACATATTTTGCCAGTAATAGATATCTCTTAGAATGACCTCGGTATGGAGAAATATAAAAGAATGGTCAGAGCAGAGAACAGGCCAAAGCCAGTTTCATTTAAACGGTAATGGGTGTGGCCAACCTGGTTGAAAGTACGTTTTACCAGGTTGGCCATGCCCATTTACTCAGATTTTAGGATGTCGTCATCCCGGTTGATTGTCCTCTTGGCTCGTCTCTCGCTGTGTCTTCTCAAACCCCGAGTGAGTCGCGTCGGATGGCCGCTCATACTGAGCCAGGTTCTTCCTGTTAAAGGAGAGTTTTCCTCTCCACTGTCGCCACCAGCTTGTTTAGTATGGGGATTGCTGATCGATGTATATAGGAAACTAATTGGCATAATGAACTGAACTCATTGCACTCATAAGTAGGTTCAATTGGAATGTTTATTTTGTAAAGTGCCTTGAGATGATTTGTGATTTTGAGCTACATAGATTAACTGACTTGAATGTTCTCTTTCATTATTTCAATTGAATCATTTTTCCTCACTGTTAAGCATATTTTATTGCTAAACTACATACTGGTGTTGCTTAGGTAACCACTAGCCCATTGGTGTACATAGGGGTTTACAAATCATTCTCCATTACATTTCTGTTGAATGTAGTTTCTATTTGGAGTCAAAATCTGGATTAACTTGAACCAAATTTGGAACGACTTTTCTAGATTTTACCAGTCGTGTTGTCTGAGTACTACTGGAAGGAGCTTGAGTACCACCAGCATTGGTACGGTTTGAGAACCGTACGGTTTAGATCATTTTAATTTTTAATTTTAATGGAAATATTATGGAATTCAAGCCAGAGGTCTGGACAGGAAGTGCTAAAGCTAGTTGCTAATTCCACTATTTAATTCTATGTAGAAAAACAAGTAATGCAATACTATAAATCCTTTGAGAAATGTTGTTTTAAGATGGCAGACATCTGCTTTGGAACTGGCCCAACTCTGACTAGCCATTAGCTCATCATTCTGGTCAGAATGAATCTCTGTTTCTCCAAACTGAGGCCTTTCAATGAGCTACCAAGAACAAATAATTGTTAATAACCTTTCAGGAAACCCATTTCAAATGTTCTACAATGTATTAGCTTACTCTTTGCCCAAGTGTCTTTCAAAATAAAACCACGACTAACTCGACTGACCAGACAGCTAACTAAAAAAATACAAAGTCAAGTGTGAAATTGAAATATGATCTTTTGGAAACAAAGCAGCTCTCAATTAGCTATTATTATTTTGTTATTTGACATTTATTGCAAAAGTTATCCAAAATATCGTAGCTCGCAATATAGTAATACACTTAACGATAGTTTAAAACAGGCATAAACCACCTCAGAAGCGGTATTGTAAAAACCTGTCCACCTTCATAAAGTGGCACTTCTTAATCATATATCCCTTGCTAACCTGCAGCGAAAATGTCAACTAACCAGTCAACTTTATTCGCACTGTTTCTGGCTACTGTCATGTAAAGATCTTAGGATCATTTCCGAGTTTGTACAATGGTTTGTTTGACAGAAAGTTCATTTGGAGATGACATTTTTTTTCTTTACCAGCTAGCTAGTTAGCAGCCCCTTAGCTACGTTGCTTATATGACTGTAAAATCTGATGTTAGGGGTAAGTTGTGCCTGACTTTCTTCAAAATGTGTTTTTATTATTATTTTAAAGGTTATTTGCAGTTGGTAAAAATTTTGATTTGTTTTTAAACTAAAATCTGAATTAACCTTATCAGCGTATTTCTGATTATCTCGCCACAGAAACGAGCTCCAAACAATACAAGCTCATTTTTAAGAAGGCTCGTTATAGGAGTACATTTGTGAGAATTTAAGTACATTTGGCCAAACTCTAAGGGAATTGTGTAAATAGTCTTTTAACATTTTGGTTTATTTACTTTTTAAAGTTACTATCCTTAAGCCTTTAGCCAAAGTCTAATGTTGACTTTCAATTTATTTATTGTACGTTTTTGTCTCGGATTGCGTTTTTCTTCAGGTTTGTGAATCTGCACTTCATTCTGAACATTTCGGTTTTGTCAAACTGGAGGCTGTCAGGGTTAGGACTATGGTTCTAAAGGGATCTCAGAAGCACAGCATGTGTGACTTGGTTTGTGGCGAGTCATACTCAGGAACAAAAGAACACATGTTCTCAGCACGTCTTGAATCACATGGACGCTAATCGCTGAGCTTTCCCCACATCTGCTGCTTTGGACATCGTCTTGGACACCTTCAGGGCATTCAACTTGTTTCTCTGAATCCAGTCAAATGTAAATACACCTTTTCTGATGCCATCAGAATGTCCTGAAGCATAAAATCCTCAGAGGGTGTAGTCGCTTTTTAGTAAAACTCTTTTAGCTTGGTGATTACATCAGCTGCTAATACCAGCTTTGCTACGTGAACTTCAAATGGACCTAACGGTGAAACGTGTTTATATCTGTTTAAAACGTATTTTATTTAGACTTTGTGGATTTTTGTGCAGGACTGACTGGGTAGTTTGAGAGGTTTCGATTGCTGCTACCCGTCAGCTGAGGCGATGTCTCTGTGCTCATTAGGGGGAAAGAAGTGCAATGAAATGGAGCTGAAACACTGATGTATTCACCTGACTGCCCGGGGTCGACGTGGCAGCCGGGTGCAGATTAGCAGACCAGACATCTCCCTGGTAACGGACTCCCATCCACCGTTCGTGTCAGACTCAGCTGTTTGTCAACGAGTCAGTCAACCCATTCAACATCGCCTTAGCTAATGAAAGGTCCCTGTTTTATTTCATTCGTCCTTACTGTTTGATGGTATGAAGCTTCATCTGATAAGGCCTTAACATCTTTTCTTTCTTGGCAACTAAAAAAACAAGTGCTCCATCCTCCATTGACCCATCCATCCATTTAAACATCTCACTCGCAGTTGTCCGCCCTTCACTCCTCCAGCCGCTGTACCAGAATCATCTGCCGTACAACTGTTGGGGAAAAAGGGGATTTAGTTCCGCTTAAGTTGGCCGTCAGGGTGAGCCTCCCTCTGATTCGAGGCCCATCTCCATGACAAGCCCTTGTTTTTCTTCATATGTCGTCTGGACCACCATTTCTACAGCACGTTAGGGACAATTTCAGGAACGCTAATGTGTATCGAACATTCATCAGCCAGCGTGAGGACGGTCGTCCCTCCCAAGACAACTGCAAACGGACATCTAAATGCATGCAAATCTTGTTTTAAGGCATACCTTGAATTATTTTCCAATAAAACTTTTTGCTTACATTTTTCGACAATACAGCGAAGGCATTGTAGCTGGTTCTGTGCCACTCATTTGTTGTTTTATGCACTGTATTTGTATTGTGTGTTATACTTGATAATTGATCAAATAAAAAATGATCAACCAAAATTCTGTATTTAAGTGATTAAAGCTGCTTGGAGCAGCAACACAGACATTAGCACTTGTTTTGAATGCTTTAATTTGGTCACTTGTGATTAGATTAGCTATTCTTCAGCCATTCAGAGAATTTTTTTAGAGCCTTGGTGAGCTTCGATAAAAAATATCATATAGAAATATTATTTCTGAATATATTCAGTCACTTTGAGTTTTTCATGCAGGCCGAATCTTCTGCACCTAACCAGAACTGTGTTTTCAGACACACCACTTTTGTACCTGAACTTGTCTTTTCGGCTGCCTTCACACAGCAGGGAAAAGTTCCAGATGTCTGAGGGGGAGGGGGTGGGAAGGCTGTGCCCGGATATTGCGTAAAATAGTGCGGCGGGCGTACACGCGTCATTTACCCAAACAAAGCTATTCAGTCAAACATGACCGACGAAGAGATAGAATATTCCTCTCACTGATCGGACTTAGGTTAAGCATAATTCTGCGCACACGAAGACGCATAAGAGACCTGGATGATGAAGCTCAATGGTTAATGAAGGAATCACAGAAGCGGTGTGAAGCGCTCCGTCGCGCGTTCTAGGAAACTGTACCGTAGGAGGCGAGCTGCCGTGGTTCGCCGCATGCTACAGGAGCGAGCTATCTAGGTGTGCACAGCGTCCCCCGGTCCCCTCCCCCTCCTCCCTGTCCGGAACTCAACCTCACCAGTCTGAAGCAGCCACCCTGACCGTGACAAGTCCGGTCCTGTTACTAGGGGCATTGTCCAGTTTAACTACAGAAAAGGTTATCCAGATGTTTGTATTCAGACACAAAAATCTTAAGGACGGAGTCCCGAACATTTCTGTTTTTCATGGCCTGTTTGAAGGGGACTCTAGATAGTCCTAACAGATCTACGTCACGCTGTCACTGACTCCCGACGGGGAAGGCTGTTGTTGGTTTAGCGTTCAGAAAACATCAGAGAACGTCTCGGCTAATAGAAGCTAACTATTAGCATTAGCAACTCCAGCACACAGCAGAACTCCTCCAGACCTGTGTTGTTTGTGGAGACTAAACATCAACGTTGCAGAGCAAACAGTCAGTGGTAGAGCCACGTTATTGTTAGCCAATCAGAATTGAGATGTCCAAATATCAGGAAACAAGAGTTGAAGTCCTGGGTGTTTCTCAACGCCAAGGAACCTCGCCTTGATGTCTTGGCCCCGCCCCAGTTGCCTAGGAGATACGTCATCAGGAACTGCCAAGACGCGTTCCAATGTTCATGTTCTACCGAGGTGTGTGCTCTCCGTTTGTTAGCCGTTTAGCCAGCTGAGCAAGGATACACGGGAGGTGTCTTGTAGCCTAGCCTTGGTCAAAGATTACCCAGAATACACCACGGTATTTTCAAAAGGATGGCGGATCAGAAGCCGGCAGCTACTTCAGGGGCAAATTTCAAGTTTAAAAGTAAGTCAACTAATTAAAAATGTTTTTTTTTTTTAGATCCAAAGCAGTTAGCTTGGTTAGTTGCTTAGTTGCAGCTTTGGTGGCTAGCGGGTAGTGACTCGCTTCCATATTTAATTTAATAAATAAATACACAATTTAAAAAGTAAAGGGTTCGTTATATATTTATATTGAAACTTAAATGTATAAAATATAATGTTATCTCCTGTGTCACGTGACATTACGTGACCGCTGCAGTCACGTGATGTAAGTCTGTTCCATTTAACGGTTTTCTTTGACCAAGGAAGGACAGTGTCCTCGTAAGCAAGGCGCCTGGCCTCGCAAGACATTGCCTTGCGAGACCAGGCGCCTTGACATTGAGAAACACCCCTTGTCTTCTGAAGCTTCTCTGATCTGGCTCACTTCTATTTCCAGAAACAGGCGCTTTTGTCCCCAGAGTATGACTTACTTATTCCTAGTAGTGACCACTGCAGATGTATTGATTAAACAAGTGAACTACACCTTTAAGCTATTAATTTGACTAGACATCTTTTTATAGCAACTGTAATAAACCAACATGTTCTCCAACCCAATAAATGCTTTTGGTCAAAAGTAGTATAATGAGGTCTTAGTAGGTTCAAATGAAGGCAACTGGATGTCTCGTTCCTTGTAGATTTTTTGGTTTCTGATCTGAGGAACTTTGTCAATTCTGATGGGAATATATGGATTTGCAGAATTGTGTGTGTGTGTGTGTGTGTGTGTGTGTGTGTGTGTGTATGTGTGTGTGTGTGTGTGTGTGTGTGTGTGTGTGAGAGAGAGAGAGAGAGAGAGAGAGAGATTCATTCACTCTCTACCACCTGAAAAGTCATAGATTAGGATGACTCATGAATTTTCAGCTTGTTGAACAGTAGCAGCTCTTTGCAGTTCATTTGTATTCCATTACCCAGACAGTTTTGAAAATTAAAATAAAACTAAAGGAATATAAAAGAACTTAACTGTACAGAACTACAGGAGAGTTAAAATTCACAATTTAAAGGCAAAAAACGGGGGGAGCAGGTGAGGGGCAAGACTCTACAGCAGGGGGGCAGGGGCACCTTCAGAAAATGTTGATAAGGGTGGTCATATGGGGCCGAAGAAAATTTTTGGGGTGGCACACCAAATTGGTCCTTGTGGTAACTCTGGGAGAGTTTAGCCTGCGGCAATGCAATGCATTGCTCCTTTATTTGTTTTTATAAAAAAAAAATACCCAGTATACATCCAAAAAACTTAACTCAAATTTTACAAACACAAACATTGCAGTTATTTAAAACGTTATTTCAAAATTTATTTCAAAATGTATTGTTTTAGTTTAATTCACCTGTTGCTGTGTTCACAAAAAACTAGCTGAGGAAAACTTTTTTTTCTAATGGTGAGAAGCAGAAACATGTATTTTTTAATTCTGATTATTTCTTTACTCATTAATTGTATAATTTTCAATGTGTTTCACATTTATGTCTTGAATAAATAAGATTAATTTATCATTTGAGAGAATGTTAATATGATTTACTAACACCGGCTTTTCCTTTGGGGGCGTCAGTGCAGGGGGCACCTGCTCCGCTGTAGATCCACCCCTGTCTTTCGGACAAACTCAGTATATTTAGATGTATTCTTTAAGTATTGTGCCCTCTGGTATGTTTAAATCCGTTTTTTGCGTTCATTACTGTTTTAATTCTCCGTGGGAGGAATTTACCGGGGTCTAGCATCAACACGGTTGCTGCAGATTTCCCAAAGGTAAAATAATCTCACAGTTTCAGCCGTAAAATGGAGAATTTCTTCATTTCCCGCTTCCTGTTTCTGCATGTAGTACCAGTTCTCGCCACTAGAGGACAGCGCTGCCTCTCTGAAAGTGATCTTGAATCCTGCGCGCGGAGGAGAGCCATAAAGTCCAATTATGACTTCAGGTGTGTTCATTGTGAAGACGACTGCGAAAAAATAAGAAGTTTGGCTTCAAAGCGGGGGAAAGAAACGGAGAAGCCGAGTTCTGACAGGTTCTGGTGTTATTTTGTGTGCTCAGTTACGGCTAATTAACGTCGGGTTGATAAAATAGGACCAGTGTTTTTTTCCCCTTTCATCTGGATGAGGTCACGCGCTGCCTTTGAGTCGCGGAAGATACCCCGGAGGAGTTCAGGAGAGAGAGAGAGAGACAGAAAGGAGGAAGCCCGTCGATTTGACTCCACACACCCCCTTCTCCTCCCCTTCCTCCCCTCTATCCCACTGGACTCATCACCCTGATTGATCGCCGGGTGTCTTCCCGGAGGAAGCCCTCCTGCGAGGAGCTAGGAGGACCGAAGGAGGTGGTGGTGGTGGAGGAGGAGGAGTAAGGAAGTTCAGATGTGGGATTGATGGGCACACACCTACTGTAGGCTCCCGGTGCCTAATGGGAGCAGCGGCGGCGGCGGCTGCAGCAGCGCGCGCCGGGGTCTCGATCCAGCTGTTCCCGCGAGCCAGACTGCGATCCGCGCGTGGGAAAATGACAGTGAAGCTCGCGCTCATCCTGGTCACGCTTCTGCTCGCTCCAGGTGCTCGGTGAGTCGACCTCCATTGATCAACAGCTTCAAAAGTTGGGCCAATTCAGTGTATTGTTTATTTGGTGACAGGGCTTTCCCTTCACTCACTCACACACACACACACACACACACACACACACACACACACACACACACACACACACACACACACACACACACACACACACACACACACACACACACACACACACACACACACACACACACACACACAATTTACAGCTGATGCCCATATCCTTTAATGTGAGGGTCTTTAATGAGTTCAAAGTTTTCCTAACGATTAGTTTATTACAGTTCTGATTTGCTGGATTATGGAGATGACGAAGAAGACCTCCATGACACCACCGTGAACCAGGTGCTGGTGCCCAGGTCCCACCAGGAGGACGCCACACGGATACTGAACACACTGCTGAGGGACTATGACAAGACGCTGCGGCCAGACATTGGAGGTGAGTTCTACTGTAATGGCGGGCTCTGACCATCTATTTCACCGAAGCTTGGTTCATTTCTTGCAGCTGTCTAGTTTGCGATTCTGTCTCGTTTTCAAGTCTTTCAGAAGAAAATGAAAAATCAGGAATCATTAGGAAAGTATGTTGCATTGCAGACAAAATTTTCAAAAAAACTGAGAAATTGTTTCCTAGACAGTGAAATTTAGGTGAAAAATGTAACAAAGCCCCGCCCCTTTTGAGTCAGACGCAAACATTTTGAGAGTTCAAATTTCATGTCTTACCTTGAAGTCTGATGTTTCCAGGGGAAATAAAATTTTTTATGAAGATTGAAAAATTTCTTGGACTACGGCATTCCAACTTTACAACCAAAAATCTTCACAATATTTTTGCAAACAAACTCTTTACACCCACAGTTTTTTAGTACACATACAAAATAAATGTGATTTTGTAACTCCATATTTAAGACACTGTAGAAACAAAAATTCAAACGTAGATCTATTTGAGACTTCTGTCATTAAACTATTTAGTCAATGCAACTTAAAATTCAGAAGTGGCAACTGTTTGAGGCATAATCTCAGTCTGCTTTTCATTAAGTTTGCTGTCAGGATGAAATGTGTGGTTGGCATGGTGACCCCTATGAGCCATGGTGGTTACCACGGTTACCCTAATGAGTCACTTTTAGTATTTATTTATTTTATGTTTATATTTTTGGGCAGACGCTTTTATCCAAAGCGACTTACAATTTATAACCTATAGCTTAAACATTTCCTTTGAGCTTGATTCTCTGGAACGTAGGCATTTTGTGTAAGCATACGTCTTCACAAAGTTGATGGAATTTCTAGCTGTGTTGGCTCTTTTCAAGATTTCTACAGAAATGTCCACATTTTAATCAGAAATCCATAATGTGATAAATGTAAACATGAAACTTTACTTTCTACTATTTTTAGTTGATTTTTGCAAAAATTGTTTTAGATATTTATTCCTACAGCATGAACATGCACAGACCAAGGTAGAAATGTTCCAATATCACCACTGATTCACTTATTACTTAGTAAATTACTTCCCACTGCAACAGACTCCATCCCAAGTATTGTTAGTTTCATAAACGATAACGAATAGCTCTAATTCCTCACTGGTAATGAGCTGACACCAGAGAAACAATAAATGGAATTGCATTCCAGATGAATATTCTGCTAATTGACTGGATGATTGGCTGTCTAATTTTGATTCCCGCTGTCCACATACATCTTAATCTGTGATGTTTGCCACGGACGATAAACCAATCACACCCACTCAACTTTTTTATTTAAAAAAAATTAACTGGCAAAAATCTTTTATTCAAAATACATTGGAACAATTTTACTAAACTATATTTAAGTCCTGAATATAAAGGAAAAAGTCTTAATTTTAACAATAAAACCATCTTGAAGGTTCTGCAGTATTATTGCCTCAGTTAGTGCCTGCAGGCAGAGTAGATGCAGCCATGTTGCCTAAGGAGCAAACACAGCTGTTGAAAAAGCCAATGAATTAAATATTGTTTAAAAGGGAATTATAATTAACACATAGTTGTGATATTTAAAAGAAATATAGCATAAACGTAGTAATTGGGGGCTTGTCCGGGATCTAAGAGCCTTTTCTTTTTTTCGTGGGTTTAGTAGTCCTGCAGCTATTTATTCATTAGTGTTGGTTTTTCTGTTTGGCTATGTAGAGTAGTGGGTAAGTTCAAGGTTGCTCTGCCTGTCGTTTTTCATTCGTTTTGAAGCTCATCTTGTATTTCTTCTTTACTCACACACTACAGGTTTTCTGTGAACCAATAGTTCTGCTTTTGTCTCTGGCTGGCTCTCACCCCAATATCGCCATTAGTTTTGTTATCAGAGCGCTGTTTTTCTTGTATTTTTCTTTTTGGGAAAATTCAGACACTTTTTGATCTGTAAACCTTTGTAGCTCATCTTTTTGTATTACCACTGAAAGGGTTCCTTAGGGTGAATTCACACTTTCAAGAACGTTGAAACCTTGAAAAAATGTATCGATTGCTGTTAAACATAGAAAAATCACTCAAAAAATTTTGTTGAACTAAGCTTATTTTAATTGGCTAAAATAATTTATTTAGCTAAATTAATAATTAATTGATATATAATGCTGCAAACGTCGAAACAGTCATTAAAAGCATTAGCATTAAAATTATGATCATTCATATTTGTTTTTAGCCACTAGGGGCATCATTTCTCCAATTAGATACATTTACAAAACTATGTCAACTTTTTTACAGACAGCCAAAATACTTAATGTACAGTATGTATTTAAATCTGGAGACAACTGAGCAACCGTGAAGTCTCTTTCCGGTGGTGATTTGGTCCCGATGAATCTGAACCTCTGTAAACAGGTTTGTTATGTTTCTGAAGCAGCAACGTGCAGCCTGGCACCTCGAGCCTAGACCCTCCTCTGATTGCACTTACATCATTTCTGTGCTGTTTATGGTGCAATCACAGCTCTGAGCTTCTTGGAGGGGGGGGGAAATCCCCTCTCGGCCTAGACCTCTAATCAAACCCTTACTGGTGAGATTCCTGGAGTGTTCTCACTGGTGGCCCACTGACTGGAAAAGCTCCCCACCACGACCATCCTGCCAGGATATTGTTACTGCTCCCTTTTCAGACTCAATTTAGGAGAAATCAAGGCCGTTTGTCTTGGGAGACACCTGACTGTCGAGTACAGGTTGTGCTGGTTGGTGGAGGAGCTTATGAATCAGATTGAGGATGATTGCAGTGGGATTTTTCATGATGATGAAGTCACGTCTCAGGACGTGTCTCGCCACAGAACTAAGAACGAGCGACTGACAAAGGGCTACGAAAGCCGACACATTGCTACACCATTTATCATTGTTTTCAGGGGCTGCTTTCCTAAATGTTAAGATGCGAGTTTGATAAATTAGGAAATGTGTTTTTAGAGGAACTGCTGCCAGATAATACAACTCTACAACCAGAACGACGCAGGTTTAAAATGTATGCAACCTTAGAAATTGAGATGTGTCTTTTTCACTGACATTGGAATTTTTGTCACAAAGTTGGCAGCTGTATCAACAAAAATATGGCTGGGTGTTGTATTGCTGAATTGAACAAGTTATTGCTAGAATTCAATGGTGCCTTCATGTTGCTTTAAGTCTTATGTACATCGTTATTGCCCTCTGTTCAAAGGTAGACGGCAGGTTATAATGTCACAGGCTTCATCCACCACTCTAAAACCTATAGTCTTAATATACAAGCAAGCAATAAATATTATGGACCAAAAACCACTGAAATGGCATCACTGCCGCATTTTAAGGAAACATAATCTTCTCACTTTTGAAAATTTTATTAATTTTAGCACTCTAAGATTCTTTTTCAATTGTCTAAATGATAAATTGTCTAAACTGTTCTCTACTGTGGCCATCAGACGTCAGAGCTCTCATAGAACGATCACTCGAGCCTCCACCTGCGGCGATTGTCTCGTCCCGCGGTGCAAGACTTCTTTTGGTCAGTCTGCTCTTTCTGTAAAGGGGGCCAAACTGTGGAACTCTCTACCTGTTGACCTAAAACTAGAAACGGACAGTAACGTTTTTAACAAAGAACTCAAAAAATGGTTAAAGTCTAAACAACAATGTCTACATGAATAGTTTTAAAGTCTTGCATTGCTGCTCAAATTGCCTTGTTTTATTCTTTTTATTCTTTTTTATTGAAAGTTGTTTGCAATTTTAATCTGTTTTCTCTTTGATTTATTGTTGATCTCTTTGTATTTTATTTAAACGTAGTCTACTTTTTAGAAAGGTTCTATGGACAAGTGTTGCAAATTAGCACGTGTGCTAACACACTAAACAATGCATCTGGTTCGTCCAATGTAATTGCTGTGTCCATGTCAAATAAACATCACTCATCATCATGTCTTTGCCTGTGGGTATGTATCTTATGAGCTATTTGATGAATTTTTATTGAAAATCTCAGTCGTCAGTGGAGATATGCCATCAACTAATTAAAGCAACACTAAACAGTTCCCTTCTTTCTACTGGTGGAAAGTGGAATTACAACTGTCGTAGACAACCCTGCCTCAGCCTGCTGTAGCTAGCGCTAACAAAGAGCTAACGCTAACATGAGCCAACTGATATTAAATAAGCTACGTAATCAAAAGATCCACATTATTGGATCAAAATATTAATATTTACAAGTCCTGTAGCAACACGGCCAGGTCATCATCAGTTTGTAATTTTGTTTCCTCTTTTAGCTAGCTCCGTCAAATTAGTTTAGACCATATCAATGTTGACTCTGGTTTTAGCTCTTTGCTTCACATCCAAAGACACTCTCTTACCTTTACTTCCAGTTTCAACCATTATGCCGACAAGGAAACAAAATTCGTCTTCTTGTGCTTTTTATCGGTGAACTGAAAAAAGTTAACTGCTAGTGTTTATATTAGCTACCAGCAGAGTAAACTGCTAACAGCCGTACAGAGACCCAAATAGTGTTCGTACCTGTCCAGCAAAATTATGCCACACCAGTTGGACAGGCTGGCCACACTTGTACTCTGCCTGACCCAGATCAGTAACTGGCTGTCCAGCAACTTTCTTGTCCTAAATGCTAACAAGACAGAGACCCTGATCTCTGCATCCCCGGAACTTCAGCCAAAAATCGAGCAAGAAATTGCCTCTTTTTGCCCATCAGCCAAGGCCAACATTAGAAACCTAGGAGTTATTTTTGATCCAGCTTTAAGTTTGGACTCACACGTCAAAACCATCTCCCGCTCTTGTTTCTTTCAACTGAGAAACATTTCAAAAGTCCGTAAACTGGTTTCTACTGCAGATCTGGAAAAAATCATTCATGCCTTTGTGTCATCACGCTTAGACTACTATAACGCTCTTTTTACTGGTCTCAGCAAAACCTCCCTCTCACGCCTTCAAGCCATCCAAAATGCAGCAGCCAGACTCCTAACCAAATCCAGCAGACGAGCTCACATCACTCCAGTTTTACAGTCCCTCC